CTGACCGCGCTCGACTCCGCTGTGCCCGTCCACAAAGCCGCCAACTGGTACGAACGCGAGGTGAGACGCCATTTTCACTTTTCACCAAACATAAACCACATGGAGCCATTTGAAATATTTCAGAAAATTCCTCAGAACCTGGACGAGTGTCTCAGTTCTGTAGTGTTTTGTTTTTGTTGGAGAACAGGGCAGATTGTGTTTTTTAAGATGTTGAACCTTTTCATATTTTGTTTTAAATTGAGTCTCTGACTGAACTGAACCTTTAATACACAAACCCCCCTCAGCGGGTGACAGGTGCGGGACAGGTGTGTGACAGGTGTGTGACAGGTGTGACAGGTGTGGGACATGTACGGCGTGTTCTTCTCGAATCATCCCGACCTGAGGCGGATCCTCACAGATTACGGCTTCGAGGGACATCCCTTCAGGAAGGACTTCCCCCTGTCCGGATACGTGGAGGTACACACGCCCTCTCTGTGTGTCAGGGGCCCTCTCTGTGTGTCAGGGGCCCTCTCTGTGTGTCAGGGGCCCTCTCTGTGTGTCAGGGGCCCTCTGTGTGTGTCAGGGGCCCTCTGTGTGTGTCAGGGGCCCTCTCTGTGTGTCAGGTGTTCTCTCTGTGTGTCAGGTGTGTGTCAGGTCCCTCTGTGTCTCTCTCTGTGTGTGTCAGGGCTTCTCTCTGTGTGTCAGGTGCTCTCTCTGTGTGTCAGGTGCTCTCTCTGTGTGTCAGGTGTCCTCTCTGTGTGTCAGGTGTTCTCTCTGTGTGTCAGGTGTTCTCTCTGTGTGTCAGGTGTTCTCTCTGTGTGTCAGGTGTTCTCTCTGTGTGTCAGGTGTTCTGTGTGTCAGGTCTCTCTGTGTGTCAGGGGCCCTCTCTGTGTGTCAGGGCCCTCTGTGTGTGTCAGGGGCCCTCTCTGTGTGTCAGGTGTTCTCTCTCTGTGTGTCAGGGGCCCTCTCTGTGTGTCAGGGGCCCTCTGTGTGTGTCAGGTCTGTGTGTCTGTCTCTCTCTGTGTGTCAGGTGTTCTCTCTCTGTGTGTCAGGGCCCTCTCTCTGTGTGTCAGGTGTTCTCTCTGTGTGTCAGGTGTTCTCTCTGTGTGTCAGGTGTTCTCTCTCTGTGTGTGTCAGGTGTTCTCTCAGTGTCTGTGTTCAGGTCTCTCTGTGTGTCAGGTCTGTGTGTCTCTGTGTGTCAGGTGTGTTCAGGGGCCCTCTCTGTGTGTCAGGTTCAGGTCTCTCTCTGTGTGTCAGGTCTCTGTGTGTCTCTGTGTGTGTCAGGGGCCCTCTCTGTGTGTCAGGTGTTCTCTCTCTGTGTGTCAGGTGTTCTCTCTCTGTGTGTCAGGGGCCCTCTCTCTGTGTGTCAGGTGTTCTCTCTGTGTCAGGTGTTCTCTCTGTGTGTCAGGGGCCCTCTGTGTGTGTCAGGTGTTCTCTCTGTGTGTCAGGTGTTCTCTGTGTGTGTCAGGTGTTCTCTCTGTGTGTCAGGTGTTCTCTCTGTGTGTCAGGTGTTCTCTCTGTGTGTGTCAGGTGTTCTCTCTGTGTGTCAGGGGCCCTCTCTGTGTGTGTCAGGTGTTCTCTCTGTGTGTCAGGGGCCTTCTCTGTGTGTGTCAGGGGCTCTCTGTGTGTCTCAGGTGTTCTCTCTGTGTGTCAGGTGTTCTCTCTGTGTGTCAGGTGTTCTCTCTCTGTGTGTGTCAGGGGCCCTCTGTGTGTCTTAATAATAATAATTCAGTTATGACTCAAATATATTCATGTCTTGTCGTTAGTGATGCTGCCACCTACTGGGGAGTTGATGTATTACGAAGATCATTGTGTTTATTTTCACGTCTCGTATCAAACTTTACTCTGATGTTTAACACACAAACCTGCACATTTAGGCTGAGTTCTTCTCTCAAACACCTTGTGATGTCATCATGTGGTGATACAAGAAGAAGTGCTCCACTGTGGTTTTAAACTCTTCACTAGAATCACCAGGATCGTTTCAGTCCTGGAGTCACCGATCTCGACTGAACTAAATGGAAAAGGAGCCGTTCACTTCATGACATCACAAGGTGGAAGAAAGCATTAACTTTAACCACTTTAAAATATACTTAAAGCTGCACTATGGAACTTTTTGTTTTGTTGTTTCTATGGAGACATCACCGCTCTGCCTGGAATATTCCACAGTGTGACTTTAAAACTTGACTTTACATTTATTCAATCACAGGAGGATTTAGAGTCAAAAATACCTCAAAAAACAAACATTGTGACTGTGAGCGGAGTCGCCTCTCCACAGATCTGACCTGGAACTGCGTCTGGTTTGGTCTCTGTGAAGAAAGAAAGGTTTAATGCCGCACTGTGGAACATTTCAGACAAAGCAATAAATCAGGACTAAAACCAGGTCTAAACTAGGTTTAAAAGAGGACTAAAACGAGGACTAAAACCAGAACTAAAACTAGATCTAAAACCAGGTCTAAACGAGGACTAAAACCAGGACTAAACCAGGACTAAACCAGGACTAAACCAGGTCTAAAAGAGGACT